AACCAACGCAGCAACTGGCAGAAGCCTCCCGATGAAACGAACCCGTTTGCCGCTAGGGGTACCCTGCTGGGGGTTCAATTAAGTCCGCCCGCTTCCTACTTGCCCCATTTTTATGTGAAAAGGACCTATCGATCGTTATCGCCGGGCAAAATTCGTTTCGCATGACACAAGCCAACCAGCGTTGGCCGGAAGTTGCCTCATTGAATTGCGCAACGCATTTTTCTTTGTGTTTAGCAAAAGCGTCGCTCACGGCTAGAAATACATTCAACTGCGAACACGAGAAAGCAGGCAGCGTGCACACTCCGTCTTTTCGCCGCGCGGACGAATCACCATCGGCTACGGAACTGCTGCTTCTCGGGTGTGCGCTGCGTAACCCGATATATAGAGATAGGGAGCACGGAATATGAATCGTCGGGATTGTTTTTCGTCAAGATTGAAAACCCTCGTGCGATTTCCCGAGTGGAGACTTTTGTGTCGACTGTTGAGCGCGGTATGTGTGTACCGGTGGATATACCGCGCCTTCTTGTCTCCGACAAGAAACCAGTGAGACTCGACTAACCGAGAGTCACCGAGGTATCCGAAAGAAAAGCGACGGCCGCTGCAATAGTAACAAAAAAATCATCGTGCCCTCTCCTTATTGACGCAACACTGTGCGAGTGACCGATAAAACGACCGCCGGCGGAGGAAATAAATGTAGGCGATCGTCGGCCGCACCTCCGGACTTCCGTGCGGCTGCCTTCACTAGAGCGGCAGCATTGTTGACGGAAGCGTAAACGTGTTATTAAACGGAGACTATACTTGTACCAGAGTTATCATCACTGTTGCACAAGCATGTTATGTTTGTTTCAGACATTCTAAATATTCATAAAATCTGAACTCAAAATTCCCATTTCTCCACCCCTAAGAATGTAAGGTCTGATCAGTAGAAAGTCGGAATATTCTTGGTCTAATATTACTTCTGGTTTTCTTCGTTTACAAGAAATAAAATTATTTTCCAAATTTATGTACTGATGACAGTTAGTATCGCGTTATAAATAGGTATTTCAGAAAAAAATGGAGTTAAATGTATTGGGGTTTAAATCTAGTACGGGCAAAATTGCAGACCATCATTAAAAAAAAACATGCTCAATTGTGCAGTGAATATATCTTACACTGTTAGCAAGTCCCGTGTATTTGGCGAGTATTTGGGGTGAAAAACACGCTATTTACACAAATTACCATAATTTTACACGATCAGTAACGGATAATTCGTTCTCAAATCATGCGAGGTTGTAAAAAACGTGTTTTGGTTCGGTCATACACGCATAATCGTGTAGCCGACCTCGATAACACGCATCGCCCCCGGCAACGACCGCGGCATTGCCGGCTGTCGAAGCACCGGAATGCTTGGGGACACACCTAGAAAGGACCGTCGAGACAAATGCCGCGGAAAGAAACATGTCTCGGAGACAGATATGCGCCAAAAGAAATTGCGCCATGTCGCAGGACGTCGTAACCTGCGCTTACCATGCTCGCCGCCATTTTCTGGTCGATGGCAATGTGGCTTCCCTCATGTCGCCTATGTTTGTATTTAGCTTAGGGGTCTTGGTAATAGTTTTTTACACACCACAAATAAAGTCATGGGTCTAATTATTCGTTCCAAACAGTTAAAATGGATATAAAAAGCGTGTCCTCGATGTGAACACGTGACATTGCAGTTGGTTTCGTTTTTGCTTCAACTGCAAGCGATTTGGCCACGGCGCAAGCGCAACGTCGATGTACGTTGGAAGCAAGAGCCGGTTGGCTTTCGTTGTTTTTGTTAGACCGGAGAAAATCTGGCAAGTATGGCAAGTACGCATGGCGCCGCTATTGTTTTGGTTTGACGGGACGCGAGGAGCTTCGCATAGAGCTTTGCAGTTTGCGAGCACATAGTGAAAACGTGACCGGAAAAGTGCCTCTGTGATGTTCCCGGAAAACGGAAAATACCATTCGTAATCGTCGTGTGTGCTTTGAAAGCAAAGGGAGTCACAGGGTCCACGATTGCGCAACCACAAGCCAAGGTTCACGACAGCGCGGCGTTGACTTCGGCGATCTCGTTCTGGTTTGGTGCAACAGGGTGATGCGAAAAAGAGCTGAAACGTTCGTCGTGTGTGGTGCGGTGTTTTGTATTCCGGGTCTGTTTGAACCGCGCTTTTAACACGGAGCGCAAATTGTTTGTTGCGGGGTGGAGGTTCAACGGGTACAGTCCCGTCGTCGTCAGCTGGTCCGGTCCAGCTGGTCCGAGAGGACGCAGCGAGCGGTTTTAAAAGTAAATCTTCCTTCGTTCCGTTTCAAACTGTGAACATATCCCGACACATACGTGAGTAAAAAGCTGCGGGCGTTTTCAACAAAATTACGTCGTTTTAATTGAATAATGGACTCCGGATTGTTGTCTTAAATCTGCCGTTTTTATGCTTCGTGTTGGACTGCGTTTGCACTGCGACGTACACCGCTCGAGTAGATGATTCGGTCCTGCTACGAGTTTGTTGCGCCAATCATGCGGCGTGAATAAATTAGGGCAAGGTTTCCTACCTGCCCACAGATGCATGTACTGAGACCATTTTTTACGTAGTGAACGTAGTGTTTTTTTTTTATTTTGGGAAGAGGCGTTGGTGCATTTATTATGGTACAATCACTTGAGAGTTGAGAAATTGGAGAGCGAGCAAGCTTTCCCAACTTTGTCTCTTTTTCTCTTTTACTGCCCTGTTTCAGTTTCAGTAGGCATATCTACTAGCAGGTACAAACTGCTCTAAAGCAGTTAAAAAACGGGAAGCTTAGGACGGTGCGGACTCCGTGTTTCGCGCTTTTCCCAAGGTGACGGGGTAAATGCTTTTGTGAGGTATGCCGAATATGCAAGCGATTTTGTTATGCCCGTCGTTTGCGTCTCTCCAGCAAAACGAATAAAAGGATCTACTACAAAGGCACAATCACAAGCCAAGATTTACGATAGCAGTGCGTTTGCTTCGGTGATCCCTGTAGCTGTATTTTATCCTGCTCTCTGCAACACCGTGTCATGACGAAGAGCTGGAACGGTAACGGTTTGTGCTGGCCTCCCGGTTGACAGAAACCCGCGTCGCCCGCATCGGCACCGAGTGCGCTTGGGCTGTTGATGCTCAAGCCTTTCATCCGCGGCTTGTCGCCAGCTTATCCTTCCGCTCAACGGTGAGGAAGGGCGAGAGTAACCTCGAAAGTGAATGTAAATCCTCGTTCATTCAGTTATCCGGTGTCAAAGTGTGGAAGATGTCCAACGTGTACTGAGGGCGGGAACTACGAGCGTTTTGCCTTGCTTTTATAACCGAAACCAGACCAACGAGATAACTGCCTTGCGTACTCTAAAATGACGGAAGCAATAAGTTTCAACAGGTCGAGTACGTCACCGGGGATGTAGGCGAGACGACGCACACTGTTTAAACACTTGCAGTATCCACGAGTGGTACCAGGAAAGCGACGTCAACAGAGAAGGAGCTCGCGATTCAGCATAATGCAGTGCTACGGGCCCGAGTATCTTCAAAGTTCGGGGTGGTGGCAGTATAAAAAAGAAGACGCATCAGCGCCTCACACCAGTGTTTACGAATAACACCGGTCACAAACTCCCGAGCCCCACCGCTCCACTCGACACCGACACGACATACGACAACAAACTGCATCAAAACGTCCCTAAAGTGAAGGCGTCTGCTCCCGTACTGCAACTAGCGGAAGTGAAGTGTTGGGCGGATGTCCTTCACAAAAATATATAAAAAATGCTTTGCGGAAGGATCATTTTCATTTATTATTGTATACGTAATGACAAAATCCCAATAATTTGTTTTCCTATCTGATTCAAGCTAGTCGGAATGCTCATAACACTGGTCAAGCAAGAAAATAACAAAAATTTGAACTTTTTCATTACCGGTTTAAGATTTATTGTTAACGTATCGTTATTTATTGCAACGGACTAACATTATAGATTTTGCCTCCATACTTCTTAAATGCAAACAGTTCTAACACACGGCTGTCCATTGCGCCGTGTTTTGTGTATTCTTCTATAAATCTGTAATGGTCAGCGACCAAAGAGCTCACCCGCACATGTCAAGCTTATATGCGCCGCGGGGAGAAATAGATGTGGAGTAGGAAGTGTCGGGCGTAGTGTCGTTGTTGTGTTTGTGTACATGTTGGTGCTGTGTAGCATGTGGTACTGATTTGCCTGCGTTGTATGTAGGGTTGCTCTCTAGTCGTGGTTGTTCGTACGCAGTGTTAACAGACTCGTCTTTTTTTTATATACAGGCTGCTAGAAATCTAGATAGGTGGCGCAAGTCACCGCCCGATTTTAAATAGTTTGCTCAAGTTATTTATCCATGTGAGTTCGGCATTCGTTTTTTTGTCCAGCGGCTCGTTGAAGCTACCGACGCCGCCGACCACCGACGACGCACGTACAGTACGCACCTTTGCACGTAGGTACGTCCGCCGCTTGGAGACTTTACTGTGTATAAAAGACATCGAACGAGAACTAACGCGCCCTGTGTGCTTTCAATTCGGGTGAAAGGCGCTCGGCTCGCTGGGCTCGTCTCTCGCCTGTTCTCGGCCGCTGGCCGCCATGTTTCATAAGGAACACGCTCGAAACGTGTTTTGCTGAAGGCAGACACGGTGTAGTGTGTGAAGTTTACACAGCACCTAATGTGTAGACGAAAAACACAGATAGCTGCGTGTAAAACGAACACGTTTCGACGTGTCCGCTATTGGACAACGGTTTACACGTCTGGGCGTGTTATTTTTGCTAACAGTGTAGGGAAAAGACTTAAATATTTGTGCGAAAACAGGCTCATAAAATCTAATTGCGTGTTTTTCCTTCGTTTTTATTATTTTTGTTTTTTGGAAAAGGATGATGAGAAGTCTACTTTAGCTCAGAAGCAAATCGATCTTGGAGTCAATCCATTTCTCCGTCCTCACGATGCGTTTTGTGTACCTAGGTTTTGGTTCAAGTTGTAATTTTTTTTTTATTTCAGGAAAAATAAACATCTTCGATGAAATTGAGAGTATAAAAAATGAAATTGAGAGTATAAAAAAAGAAACAAAGAAATTAAAGACTGACGTAAAAATATTCGCTCTCATCAGTCATGTCGGCTATGAGAAGGACATGGAAATCGCAAAAGAAGTGAAGGATCTTCATTTTATTGTAGGGGGTCATACCAACACTTTTCTCTACAGTGGTAAGTTTAACTTGCTATATCTTCACGTATATTGATTATTCAATATTGAATTGCCTCGTTTTAATGCCCAAATCACCTATGAGAGACGAAGCATCCCCACTACGTATTTCACGAAAAAAAAGTGGCGCTTCATAACTTTTAAGTTTTCTTAACAACGTTGCTTTACTTAATTCTAATCTTGGATAAAAAAAAAGAGTTGAATGCGGTCGAAACATTTAATTGTAGCTCATATATTTTAAGCGACCAATCCCAAAGTGCGTAATTACCAGAACCGAATGGGCGTGGTCGACGTTGCCTTCTCGATAACTGGGTCACATAACCGTCATATTTTTATTCATTGTTTGCATAAAGGTCAAAGTCCTGGGGATGACACACCAGCTGGGCCATATCCAACAGTTGTGAAAAGAGACGATGGTTCAATAGCCCTAGTAACGCAAGACTATTGCTTTGGAAAATACTTGGGTTTTCTGGAGCTCCAATTTGATGCCACCGGAAAGCTGAAGAACTGGTCAGGAAATCCTATTCTCATGGATTATACGATTGAAGAAGGTAAGATTCACGTTTTATAACCTTTAAGCTACTTTTTTTTTTTAATTTCGTGGAGTAGTAAAATGCTGCCGGCGCAGAGAGCAAAAGTAAGCACTGGGTGGCGGCTGTGTGACACGAGAGCGCACGACAGCAGAGCGCACGATAGGTGAGCGCTGCGACATGAGAGCGCGTGTCATTAGAGCACGCGCCACGAGAGCGCATGTGCGTGCCTTAGAAACGATTGATATTGAGGTCTTCACACAGATGTTTTCACGGTGCTGATGTTTTGACACCAAATGGAGTCGTATATTGAACGCTTGATGTTATTTATTTGGCTGAGTATGCAGACCTGCGGGGAATTCATTATTCTACAGTTGTCACCGCTGCCGCTCATAGACTGCTTCTTTTGAAATCGTTCACTACTTTCGCTCTCGAGACAACTCTCCTTGTTATTTTTGTCCCCCAGAAGCAGGAATTTGGTTCACATATGAATATGGCTGAAGAAAAACATCAGTTTGGCGATGACCGTTTTTCCGTGATTGAAGGTTTTAGTTCTTTACTGAGAGTAAGGCTCCGGGAGTCTATGGTGCGCGCAGGTGTTACATCAATATCATGTTTAATCCTGGCAAACATCGAGAAAACGTCGAATTTGGAACGCGCTAGAAATCAATCCGTTCGTTCCTGTGTTTAATGACGAAATATGAAGCTGCACTCACATATTGTGCAGTGCTGGCTATCGCGTAGCAGTTAATTAAATGTATAACTACCAAGTTAATATAGAAGGGTATTCGATAATTGAACGTTCTGCCACAAAGAAAAACACATCAGTAACTGCAGCTGTTCAGCGTTCTCGTGACGCGGGCTATAATGACACACGCTCTCGTGTGACGGCACTCTGCTATCGTGCGCTCGCGTGTCGCGGCGCTCTCCTGTCGCGCGCTCTGCCGTCTGCGCTCTCGTGCCGTGCGCTCTCCCCTAAGTGGCACATGTATTCCATGTAATACAAAACATCCATAATAGTTCAAGAAACTTTATTTCAAAACAATGTACGAAATAACTTTGGACATTGCTGAAGAAACCATATTTAGAATACCACAAGAAATAGGGAAGAACGCTGAAGCGTCACCTTTAACAGTGAAATGCGATAGCGTCATCGGGCCCCTTTTGCATCGCCTTCTCATTTGCGACGCACGTCTGCCTCGCTTTGACTAAACAGCGTGTGTGGCACGCCACTGAAGGGTCGTGGCTTCGAATCCCGTTTAATATTCTTTGAATTTTTATTTAAGGCAAAGTAGTAACTTTTTAAAGTTTAACCATTTCAGAAATGCGACCCCCTTTAATTCGCATTACAGGTCATTTTTTTAACACTTTCATTCCATGCGTGACGTCACAGTTCACGTGAGCGTTGTGGGTCGTTTGAAATGTCCGCCCGAGGACATGTGGCTGTGACGTCATGACCCTATCGCCCAATCAGGATTTTCGCGGCACGCCACCGACGCGGGCTTTTCCGCCACGCCACCGATTTTCAGCGAAACGAGCTCCTTAACGATATTATGTTAAAATCTTTTATGCTTGTTCAAACTGCGCGTTGTGCTTCCCGGCTGTCTCCATGGGCGCCGCACTATACTTGCCCGTTTTTTCGTGGTCAAGGACAACGCCGGCGGCGCTCTATGGGACCAGTTAATGCTTTCGGATTAAAAGAACAACAGCAGAATAGTGGAAAATACGTGAACGAAGCAGACCTCCTTTTCGAGCTGAAATGAATCGACAATATAAAACTATTCTTTCTAGCCCATATGTCGCTCGAAGTATGGGAACGGGGGCTCGCAGCCGTGGGATGCTTGTGGGCCGCATCCCAGAGAGCCACGGCAGCATCCGGCTGATAATTAGCCGGGAAGTGGCCCGCGAGCATCCCGTGGCGACGAAGAACCATTCCCATGTCTCGAGCGCTACATGAGTCATACCTACCGGTCTCAGGTTGTCGTTTCATTTTCCCTTGGAACTTAGCTCTGCTTTTTTAACGTGCTCACATATTTGACACCATTTCTTGTTTTTGTGTTTGCGCCGTGAGTATTGTCTCGTCTTAGTTTTTACTTCTCAACTTTTTTGTTATAACGTCTACGACAATGCCACTTCCAGGCTACAAGCCCGCGAGCTCTCTGCTCGTGGATGCACCTGGCTTGCGCGATCTCTCGCTCGGGTGGAGGGACTGCGAGACGGTCTTTTAGCCGTTAGAAAATACCATTGTAACATAAGTAGCTTTTTTAATAATGCAGCTATAAAAATTATTAAGAAACCAAAAGCCATGGCAATAAAATATTTTAGATATGTTCAACTTTATTAATTCCTAAATGTGAAATGTGCAACAGGACTACCGTTGTTATATTAAAAACTCAAGCCCGTTAGTGGATTTGACATTTTCAATCTTGTTATAACCTAAGGTATTGGCTCAGAGTAGTCGCATGTAGAAATGAAAGCTAGATATATCATTGGCAAAACGAACAGTTTAGACAAAGAAGTCAGCACGAGATCTTTTCTCTAGAAAGCATATGGGTGTCACTGAAACATTCGGCTAATTTACAAAATGAAACACTATTCATTGCTGCTTTTTTATTGTTCCAAAATATATATCCTCCCCCTCCCTTCTCTGACTTCACATTGGTCCTCGACCTTTCCGGGGTGGACTATCTGCCCTCCATACTCATATGAGTTTGAGAGACCTGACCTAGAGAAAGCAAGTTGCGCTCCATCTTGGTTGAAAACCCAACCAATTCATTATTGTGTAACCTTTATAACAGCCGTGTCCCACTAGAGCGACATACAGCCACAACAAACAGCTACTCACGACAACGAGTGACAAAAGACACCAAGAGACAGCCTGCTTTTCAGAGTGCGCTGTCCCACCTGGAAAACACGACGCAGAACACTGGGCGAAGGAGACTTGTTTTTTTGTGGGACTGGAGTTGTTAACAAAACACTTTAAAATATAGGGTGAAACAAGGAGACGCCAAGCTATTTAAATCGACAGGGAAATTCGGTTTCTTAACCTATCGCGCTACGACTTTGTGCAGCGTTGCCCACAGATGGTGCATTTCTTTTTGTAAAATTTACAAAGAGCGAACTTATCTGAGAAAAAAAATAAAGAAAGAAAAAGGCTTAGCTCCTATGGAAACGCAGCGACGCCACCGGTCTTCCAACAACACGGCGCCGTTTCGCACGGGAGACAAGAGATGGCGCAACGAACGCCGCCAACAAACGAGCATACGGCGCCGAGAGCCAGCGTCTTTAGCAGACAAGACTCAAAAGCGGCGCGCGTTCCGCAGGCGGCGACAGTCGCAGAAACAAAAACAGGCGCGGTGACAACAAGGAACTGCATGCGGTTCTTTGTCTGCTAAAGGGCCGGCTCTCGGCGTCGTCTGCGCGTTCGTTGGCGGCAGTTGGAGTCGCGACCGCTTGCGCCATCTCTTGTCTCCCGTGCGAAACGGCGCCGTGTTGTTTGAAGACCGGTGGCGTCGCTGTGTTTCCATAGGAGCTAAGCCTTTTTCGTTCTTTGCTTTTTTCCTCACGTAAGTTCGCTCTTTGCAAATTTTACGACAAAAAAAAAATGCACCATCTGTGGGCAACGCTGCACAAAGTCGTAGCGCGATAGGTTAAAGGGCAACTCCGGTCCATACTTTCGATTTTGGGATTATGGCTGTTTTTAGTGCAGTTAGCGCCCCTGAGTTGCAAGGTGTAATTTTTTTTCTCGTTATTGTGCGTAGTTTTAAAGATATCGACGTCTCAAAGTTTTGTTTGGGGCGCGGCCGACAAAACCGAAACTAGCCGCTCGAGGTTCCGGCAACACTGGAAATCAGCCGCTATGTGGACGTGACGCCAAGATCGTTCTCGTTCAGCGAGTACGCAGTGCAAGCGGCACCTACCTCTGTTGCGCTAGTCGTCTAAAGATAGAAGGTAAACTGATTTTGTTTTAATTCTGTATGTGGTAGTTATCCAGCATATGTAGCAAGAGTTAGTGCGTATACCCAAAAGCTAGCGACTGGAAAACCCGTCAACTCGTTCGGTGGCGTACTCGGCGGCCGCCGCCGCGCGTGCGCTATGCCGTACTCGTTGCTTGTATACCCAAAAGCTAGCGACTGGAAAACGAGTGAACTCGTTCGGTGCCGTACTCGGCACCTGTCGGCGTGCGTGCGGTCTCCCGCACTCGTCGCTAGGCCTAAATTGTCATCGGGGCTCCGTGGATGGAGAGGCGTTGCTCGACGCCGCGCTGCCAGAGACGTACAGTGCTGGCGCTTTCGCGCAGCGGGTCAGTCCCAGGCACGAAGCTTTGAGGCTCTCCGGCGCGTTCCGCAACAACCGAACAGACGTGTGTCAAGCTGTAGACGTCTGTTTTTTCGTTATTTTTTCCTCAGGCGCGTAAAAGCTGAATTTGTAAGCTACGACACCAATTTACCACATAACTTCGTCCAGGTAGTGAATCTTCGTACAAATAAAAAAAAAAAACTTGCCGCACAAAAAAAAAAAAAAAAAAAAGGTTCTTTGGGCATTAAGGCTAGCAAAAGTTTTTGTGGGTGATAAAGGAAAACAGAGAACGTTAGCAAGGTGAGAACACTTTCTTTCCCTTCCGCATTCCCACCCCCACCCACAACAATTTTTTTTTTAATTTTTAAATATTATATTTACCTCCAGCCGAACTCGGGCAAATTAGAGAGTTGTAACTTACAAATCCGAACTTCCGCGATTTCTTTAAAGTCCCTTGTGGTATTCACAAGCGCAATTATTACTGCTGCGTAACGGGTTGGAACGATTGGGAGGCGAATGTTTATATCGCATGAGCTTCACGCGCCGGCTGTTCGCTAGTAGTCGTTACGGACCTGAATACTACGCACGAGATTGCGTTGTAAACAAGCAGTGACGCAAAGCAGAACATTGTTTTCGTTTTCATTACAAACTTCAGTGTTTGGAGCTAGTTAGTGGTTGTACTCTACATGCCCACCATTCCCCATTCAACAGACATTCAATGGAGCATGAATGCTCAATCTTCAACACTGCACTTGACAATGACTGTTTTATTTATTGATCAGGATACTTTTATCATGTTTACCTTTTCTCTACATGTACGATGGGCAAAGAGCGACGGCACGGCATCCTTTTTAAGCCTCGACCCCTTCGCTGACAAGCCACAAGCAACCAACTCCCGTAGGTTTCGTTCGTAACTCTCCGGCGAAAAATGATCGGAGCAGAGCTTCGATCTGGGGGTCGACGTCCAAGGCTTTCCAAAGTCCACTTGTCGAACGGCGTTCACCCGCACCTTCTCCGATTTCCGATCCGTTGGAAACTTGTGAAAAAGCACCTCCGGGTTGCGCAGCGGCTTGTTTCAGCAGCCCACAGCGCTTTAAGTTGTACTCGGCATCTTTCGAGGAACAGCTGGGCAGTCTTGGGCGCACCGAGTTGCTCGCTAAAACGAGCCTAGGAGACCTCACAAGCAAATAAACAAAAAGCTATAGCGAGGGTACACGGGCTACAGGTAAAAGCAACTGCTAAACACGCAATTACAAGCCGAAGTAGCGGTGGTAGCGGCACAAAGAAGCGCGCGCGACGGCTGCGCCGTGCTCCCGTCCGGAACGGAGGAAAAAAAGAGAACGATGTTGACATCACGGCCCAATGTTGCTTTAGCGATCGGCAACCCGCTGGCATCCCGCTAAGGAGCAGCGGCTCGCGGCGGGTCGCGTTTTTATTATCGGCATTAGCTGAGAATGCGGCGTCCCACGGACGTGAAATTTTGGCTGGGGTCGTATTTTGTGTCACTAAAGCGATACCAGTAATTTAATTCATTTTGAGTTTTGGCCGGAGTTGCCCTTTATTAAGAAACCGAATTTTCCGGTCGATTTAAAGAGCCTGGCGTCTCCTCGTTTCACCCTGTACAAAGACAAAGCTAGTCGGGCGACACGACTTTTATGCTCCCCTCTTTTGGCAAAGAACCCACCTACAAAAACAGTGAAAGTAAAGGCGATTATTTTCTTTTTTGATGAAAGCTTCCGTGAGTCTTCATTTCCCGTTAGCGAGCTTCCGTAAACTGTAGTGACACAAACGTTTTCCGAACTAGAATTTCTAAATCGGCTTGCCGGAAAGTAGTGTCCTACTTTGTGGTGAGCAGTCTTCCTTTGGTGAGTCCTCGAACGTCGCTGTATCCATACTGATACTGGGGCGTAGAGCTCTGCGTCTTGAGGCGCCAACTCGCGCACCAAGTTTCCTAGAGATTTCGGAACATGACCGCCAGCGAGCGAGCCACGAGCACTAAGAGCCATCGAGGGACGGAAACTGCGGGAACGACCTGTGGCCGCCAAGGTCTTCTCATATCTGAAAATCGAGCGGCGGAGCGAGCCATGAGAGGAACGGGAGGAAGGTTAGAAGGATGTAAAGAGAAGCAACAGAAGGTACAAGCAAGCGAGGAGGTCAAGTTTGTCTTCGAGAGATGTGCCTCATTGTACGCGTTCAGGAGCGCTTCCCTTGCCTCCGAACGGAGTGACCCGAGTCAGAGCTCTTTGGATTTTCTCGCCGGAAATCGTCACCTGTCAGAAAATGACGCCATCTTTAGCTCCTTTAGCTCTACGTGCACCGCCTACGGACTCGTTGCTCCGAAGCCCCGGAGTTACGTGCACCGAAAGTGACTTTTGGCCGTCTAGTGGAAGGAGTCAGTGACTCCTTGACTCCGGGGCCGCTACTGAACGCGCCCATTGGGACTGCTCGCGGTGCTTCTAGTCCAACGACAAAAAAATAACTTCTTCATCGTTTGTCGACTCTTGTCGGCTTTCGTCGGGGGTGTTGGTCATTACATTAGGACAGCTTCAGTGACACGGAACTTTGTGCTGTCACCAGACAAAAATCGGTGTATGTCGCTCTAGTGGGACGAGGGCCGAGGCTATAAGCGCTCAAAGTTAAACCTTTAGAATATTTAAGTCAGTTTCTCTTAGCAAATATGTTCCATAACAGGAGAAAGAGAAGTTGTTATAATAACCTGTATGGCAAATTGTGATATACCTGGGGCTCGGGAATTCTCTGATGTAAAAAAGCTGTAAAAAAAGAATAATTTAAGTTTCTACTGATGAGCAGGTTAAATGTGTTGTTTCAGACTGACGTCGTTGAAAAAAAGTAAATATGTCTTCAATAAATCGAGCTTTGCAGGCCTGCTAATGGACGTACGACTTAAGAAATAACTACGCACTTATAGCTTGTTCGCTCTCCCCATTCTCGAATCTGCGTGTTCTAGTAAGATGCATAACGTAAAAAATGCCTATCGGACGCAACTTTCCTCTAATTGCAATAAACTTCCCTGCCAAGAAACCCAGTATAATTTTTCGCTTTCTGGATTATGGAGCTAAAAAAATATCTCGATTATTTCTGGATTTTATCGTCTCAGAAATTATTCCTTTGTCTGCAATCTGGGCTTCGGGTTTCCCGAAACAATTCCAGTTAGTTTTCAAGTTTCATACACCATATAGTAAAACGTTATACGCGGTTTTTCGATAGGGTTTTTGTCTATAATATTGGTGAACAAGCATGTGTTTATAAAGCACTGTTATAAATACTTGAGCGAGCTGGTAAAATAATCTTACATCTCAAGGTTCTTAAACAGTTTCCTGCTCAAAATAGAAATTATATATTGTTCCGTTACATAATGAATGAAAATATGTTAAATGAACTCCCATCTATACAATAGCGCAATACGGCTCGAACATGAAAGGGACAGGCGCTACTAACAACTGGTATTTTATGAAGAAAGACGAGAAGGAATAACATAATGTGTTGATTGAAAATTAAAAAAAATATATATATATTCATTCCTCACATTTCTACGCTTCCATCTCGTCTTTCTATATAAAGAACCAGTTTTCAGTAGCGCGTGTCCTGTACTGTACCTTTCATCTTCCTGTCCTGTTACACTATTGAATATATGATATTTAACCAACTAGCTCAGCGATTGATTTTAAACAAACCACAACAATATTGTGGACTTCATTTTCAACAGATAAAGCCATGCTTACAAAGTTGAAACCTTATGAAGAAATAGTTCGTAAGGCCGGGGATGAGCCCATTGGAACCTCCAAAGTCCTACTTGAAGCCAGCCACAAGATCTGCCGCCTGAAAGAATGTAACATGGTGAATCTCATAGCCGACTCTTTTTTGGCCTACTACGCCGACAGGAACAGCACCATTCCTGGTGCCTGGTCGGACGTGAATGCCGCTGTTGTGAACGCCGGAATCACAAGGACATCCATTCAACAAGGTACACGCAGAAACTTTCTTGCCCGTATTTTATTAAATTGTGATGTTAGAATATACTTCTTACAATGCTTGCTGAACATATACTGGGCTTCTGACTTCTGCATGTAGTTGAGCAATTACGATTATTGTACCACCCCACAATATACGCCATTAAAGTGCATTGGCGCTACTTGACAAGTGTCGATTTTCTGTTATGGAAGGAGCCAAAGCAACAAGGAGCGGTTCGTGTTACAAAAATAAAACGGGTTTTTAGACGAACAACTCAATTATAAAATATTGTGGTGTGTGTGAGGGGGTATTTTATGTAATATTGGTGTTTTGACTCCATCATTTGTATTTCCTTTCCCCATTTAATTACCATATACCGCATCCCTGCGCAGAGAAGCCAACTAGGTATATTACATATTTAATTTTTTTTTTCTGACACCTCTCACTATTTCACATTCTTTTTACTTGTTGTTCCTTCTACATCACCTGCGCACAAAACGCTCAACTTCCATTACATAATTTTCGGAACTAAGCGAGCTGTAACTCCTAGGCAGTATCAAATGTCAAGGCGAGGGTTCTTTGAAGCAACTGATAGGTCGATTGTAAATTATAGACTGGTGCTTGGAACGTCATCGTCTTGATGGTAATGAATAGTGAGCGGAAAATTATGAGGTAGGGTGGAACGAGATCTAATCCTGCACTTTCATGATATATATTTTTTAAGAATACAAGTTTGATTTACAGCGAAGCTGTATATGACTTGTTGGTCGGGTTTTTTCGTGTTAGTCGACACAACAGTAGTCGACAAAATAGTCGATTGAAAACCATCGCGCGGATCAGCGTTCGAGCGCGCCTAGCTTATATCTTATCATGTGGTTTGGACACTCATTTCAGTAAGAACACTACAAAACAAGTGTCAAAACTACGTGAGAGATTATAAGCACGTAGCGCTCCCCGCATGCATTTCTCGGTAAAGATTGCGGTTGCATAAGCTACCGCGGCAACGGCAGCGTACGATGTCTTTCATATATTATGTACACTGTTAGTTCGCACGTCACTGGCGCCGCCTAGCGCCACCTACAATGTGTCCAAGCAAGGTTCGTGCTGGATTACCCCCGATCAGGTAACGGACGGAATATAAAACATGTGCTCTTAGTAATTTGATTCCATCCTGATAATCTGTCCTAGAAAGTTTTGTCCCAAACCAGTCCCTAAAACATTTTGGGACTGTGCGTTTACTTTTCTTTCGTCAATAATTTGGTATAGACCCTTTTGCTGTGTACAAACATAATCTGCCGCTTGTGTCTCAAGCGACTTCCTGTGACACCGTTTTTGCAAGCCTGCTGAGTGTGCTATGTCACCACTGCTACAGAACATAAATGCTACACGGACAACAAAGCTGGAGACTTAACGAGAGCCTTCGGTTGTACAATAATACATCTTAAGGAGGCCAGTTCGACCACAAGAATACTCGAAACAGTTTAACAGGTCTTGCACTGGTAGCGTTTGCCATGAAAATGGTCTATAGTTCAGCCGACAGTCGTTGCAGGTGATACCACAGCTTTGCTGTCAGCCAGTTTTACAGTGTAAATTGAAGCCTCAATATTTTCTTTATATTTTTACGTGCCTCTTAAGAGGGCGCATTTGTCCATTTTGTGAATGTTTCTTCATATATTCGAACTGAACTTTTGTATGTTATATCTATCTTTATCATCATCTTCCTTATTCTCTCGTTGCATCAGCGACGTTATATTCGCGGCACCGCGGGCTTCCATGGTAAGAGCCTTTCTGTGGTTACGCAGCTCTCGTGAGTCAATAAATCTGTTTATTTTTTTTTTGCATGGATAGAACAGCGCGGGTATTCAGTCACACTCACATGCAAACAAGAAAGAAACAGAGTCGCAGCGCTGACTAACGACTCAGTGATATATTTCTTCTTCCTCAAATCGTCATCTTCTTCTCCTCCGCCGCTTAAAGAGAACATTTTAAATTTCTTAACACCAGAAACGAAATAGCCAATACATATTATTAAATATATAATAAACAAATAAATGAAAACTAAAATAAAATTAAATTTAAAATTAAAAAAAAAAAACTAAAAATAAAAAAATTAAAAAAAAAAATAAAAAATAAAAAATTTTAAAAAATTTAAAAAGTTAAAAATAATCCGCAATTACCTATCAATATTGGTATTTTGATGTTATCTGTATATCCAATTCTTTCTTTGGTAAAGCTAAGAATGGGGCACTAATGTATTGCGTGTCTAACCTGGCCATTTTTTTCTCAGCTTCGATGATTTCTCGTGTCAGCTGGTTACCACTTCTGGCAAGAACAACGCAGTTACTGAAGTCTGCTGAACACTTGCAGTCCCGTCAATGAATGCCTAGGTTACCTGAAATTACTCTGTTTATGTTATAGTTATGATCTCGTAACCGGTCATTTAGACACCTCCCAGTTTTCCCATATTTTTTACCGCATAAGAAAGAAATTTCATAAACCACCCCCTCAGAGCACGGAACAAAACGGATGTGATACTTTTGTATACAACCTAGGGTTCTATCGGTGTTCAAAAAAATTTAAACGTTCTCTTTAAACGTCGAAGTAGAAGAAGGTGACGATTTGAGAAAGGAGAAATATATCACAGAGTTGTTAGTCACCGCTGCAAGTCTGTTTTTTTCTTGTCGGCCTGTGCGTGTAACTGTATCCCGCGCTGTTCCATCCAAGTATGAATTACCAACAAAATGTAAGGGCGCAGACGAGCTGGTGTACTATTTTCAACCATGAATTACCAACTAGCCCAAGCCTCCGCATTATCAAGCTTTTATTATTATTAAACAATGAGCAACTATTTTCCCAAAGTGTCTGTCATTTCAACTTAATTTCACACTAGGCTGGCGGAGCGGTATTAAAAATGCAGGTGGATTCAATAGTACACTCATTGTGTAGTTGTCTTGGGAAAGGTATTGTTTCCGAGAAGAAAAAAAAACATATATCAGAATGATGGAACTAGTGCTTTTTCAAAACTATCCCTTCTCTGAAACGACCCGATGCTTGCAAAAATGTGTCTCTAATTTTGATACTGAAATTTCTACCATTCTCGCCCTGCGGAAACCTGGCGCATTCAGTTAGAGATTTAAACAATAGCAAAAAAAAAAAAAAAAAACATACGCAAGAAAATCTGGGAACACGATTAAAGCAGCATACTTTCGAAAGAGTAGAGTGGTCACATGTCTCAGATCTTCTTGTCTCTGCATGTGTATTTCTCGAAAGGTTAGAACGCCGCGACGGTGCCCATTCTAAGTTGCAAACTGTAAGCTTCTTGCCTAAAGTTCATTAAGTCTAGCATATTTTTATATTGTAATTAGCAATCCAGCGTTGCACAAGACTCCTTCTAACTACCTGCTGTGTTCGCTTCTGGTCAAGGGATTCATCAAGTTAAAACATCCAACGTGTCTAGTAATCCGGCAGTGACGTGACAACCGCGTCGGAGATCCATCGAGCTAATAGATCAAATATAGGTCAAGAGATTCACTTGTGGCCAAGGGGTTCAACGAAACGAATCAAGAAATTTATTGAGTTAAGAGAACCAGCGAGTAAAATTAAGAGATTCAACGGCTGTTTAAAAGTAATTACAGAAGCAAATACACTATTAGACAAGGGCGATGGGTCAAATTAATTTCTGCTCAAGTTTCGTTGTTTTTTTTTTTTTTATGACCTAAAAAATGCGTTTATTGTGAGACGCGTATGTTTCGAACTAACACTCGTTGGTTTTATTACTGCATAGATTAGGGTAAATTTCTCTTAAAATATATTTTGTTTTGATGACTGCAGTTTGTCATCTCATGAGCAAGTTTTGAGAGGCATTGGTGTTTAACGTGTTGCAACAGCTCGTTGGATCTTACGAATTGCGCTGATGCTCCAAGGCAGGGATGGGCAAAATACATGCAAATATGTATCGAAATACAAATACAAAATACTTCGTCAAAAACGTATTTAATTACAAATCTAATTACATTTCCAAAAAAGCATTTAAGTACAAGATACAAATACAACCAAATGTATTTCGTCTCCTCCAAATACTTTTCCAAATACATTCCTCAAAATTTGCGTCAGCGACTTCAGGACACGTGCAACAGGTTTCTGCGGATCTCATTTTAATTTTGCATCGCACCCTCGGGAGTTAGTGTGTGAGGCTCTAGTAACGTAACAGAAATAGAATAACAAAAAATGGAATCAGCTTGGACGTAATAGGTGAAAAAAGTACAGAACTTCAAGCAGCTTTTTTTTGTCGATTACATTTTGGTATAGACCAACAAAGAACTGAGACGACCAAAACGCGCACCACTAAATAGAGAATTTTTTATTGTTGCAACTCGCACGAGTTACGAAAATCTGGACGACCCGCGCATTTAGAATGTTCCCGGCAAAAATATGGATGGAAATCGGGCTGGAAAGCATCACAAGTTGTCGCAGGCACTTATTTAGCCAAACTGTCTGTGAACGTCAATTTCGTCACAATTCTTGTCTTGGACTAGCACCGTAATCAAAAAGTCACTAAACGCTTTGCTTGATTGGGAGACACTGCAATCGCTGCAGAACGTAGTTTTCTTCCTGCTCTGGACAGTGACAATGAATTTGAGGGATGTATTTTCGCCCACAGGATTGTATTTAATTAAAATTGTATTTGAAATACCCACGTTTTAGTATTTAAATACACACGTCAAATACATTACCCAATTTGTAATTAAATACAAATGCAAAATACACAAAGCGTTTGAAACACGTATTTTAAATACTTGTATTTGGAATACTGCCCATCCCTGCTCCAAGGTATATGTTTGGAAATAAATAGAAGCTGCGTCTTTGAATGGAAAGACAATTTTAGGTGGTAATAAGCCTCTTAACTTATTGGACATGAGTCAAGATATTCAAAGTGGGTCAAAAGGTCTAAAGAGTCAAGATATCCAGGGAGAGTGAAGAGGTCTAACGAGTCAACGAATCTAACGATTAAAA